AAGCCGAAGACACAAGCCTGAAGATGATGAATGAGACTTCATCGAAATGTCGCCTAGATACTTCCAATTTTACGCGGGGAAAAACCCGAATAACCAAAGATCCACATATATATATAAACATATATATATGTATCTTTGCAGCTCTTCTTTTTACAAGATAGATTGTTCCTCCTGATTTGAGAAGTTTGGAGAGAAAGTATGGGGTAGGATGCGGCAATATTTTTTTTTTCTCCGACAGGAGGCTTCCTCATCAGAATTGCTACAAGAAGAGATCTTTATTTTTATCCCTTCACACACTATACACATGCATATACATATACACAAAGAGAGAGAAAAAGAAATATGAACATAGGAGCAGACAAGTGCTTCAATATGTATTATCTTATGTATCATCCACTTGAATCAATGCATGTCCAAATTTATAGACATTGTATTTAGGATTAGGATTAATAATATACTGGGGGGGGAAAGCTTCTGTTGATTTAATCAAAGTGCATTGGATGATGTACAGGTAGCCCTCGACTTATAACAGTTCATTTAGTGGCCGTTCCAAGTTACAATGGCACTGAAAAAAGTGACCTATGGCCATTTCTCACACTTCTGACCATTGCAGCTTCTCCACAGTCACGTGATGTACATTTGGATGCTTGGCAACTGACTCACATTTATGACGGTTGCAGTGTCCTGGAGTCATGTGATCTCCTTTTGTGTCCTTCTGACAAGCAAAGTCAATGGGGAAACCAGATTAATTTAACAAGTGTGTTACTAATTTAAGAACTGCAGTGTTAACACATGTGGTGAGAAAAGTTGTAAATGGGGCAAAACTCACTTAACAAATTTCTCACTTAACAGCATAAATTTTGGGCTCAGTTGTAATCGCAAGTTGAGGACTATCTGTATAGTAGCCATGCATTTACTGCAAGTGATTTTATTTTACTCTGAAATAGTCCTGATCCAATTTGTTGTCATTTGTTAAACCTTGCTGCTTTTTAGTATTGCTTCTTAATACTCCGTACTGAAACAGTCTCATCTTGCTGAGGAATTATCTGCCTGACTTTCAAAGTTTTTCAATAGTATAAAACTACTTTCTAGAAAGGTAAAGATTACAATCTTTACTTGGGAAGAAAAATAGATGTATTACAATAACAAAACTACACCCACAATCTAATGTTGTGGCTTAATATTCTGTATGCAAATGCCCTGAGGCTGAACAAGGCTACTTTTCTTGAGATGCAAAGAGGGTGCCTGACAAGGAAAATCATGTTGTAAAACAACTAGCTGTCTGTTTCTTTGGCAATTTGAATAAAAAAATTCAGTATTTGATTAAACATATTTAGTTTGCAAAGATACACAATGCATTCATGAAGCAGACAGGAACTGTGAGGCAGGTGCAGGTGCATCTTTCTATGTTGTTTAATGTGGCATACAAATGCTAACTCTCTCCCTTCACTTAAAAAAAAGTAAGATAATGGTTAAAAATTTTGTACAGTAAAAGCAAAATATACCAGGATGGGCTCTTGCTCCGAAAACCTGAACTTGGCTTTTACATGCTTGGTTTCCATTCTTATTCTGGGTACCTTCTTCAAGGAGATGTGCTGTTTTCTGTTCCAAAGGGAAGAACTGCTATTCTTAAGAAGAAGAAAAACTCTTGATATATAAATACATGAATATACATATGCATGAACACACATGCACCATGTAAAGCAGAGTGGAACAAAAACCTGATCAAGAACAACCTCTCACATCTCTCTTATCTGTTTTTCTTTCCTATGGACTCTAAATAAGCCAGATAAATGGGCTGTTGTCATAAAACATAATAGTTTCATATTTTAGAAACAATTGATGCCTCATTGGAAATACAATGCTTTTAAAGATACATTTGCAGCCCTTACTGCAAGAGGGACCTGTAAGATTACCTGATCAATAAGATTGTGAACTCTTTTTTTAAATTTTAACATAACACCTGTACCAAAAGCTAGGACATTCCTACAACTTTTAATGGATATATGGAAGATTTAAATTTCTGATCCAGATGAGAAATACATGGGAGGCCTATGCATTTTCTCTTGCCAAATTTCATAGATAAGTACAGAAAGTTTTTTTTAAATGTATTCAAGCCAGCAGAATTCAAGATCAAACCAGTCCTTCACTAAGTACTTGGAACTGCTCGGTATTTTATAACATTGTGTTTTGGAAATATCAGATGAAGAATATAGACAGATGATTATTAATGTCCTTATATTGCATATTTATTTTCAGAAATATGGTTTATTAATTTTGATACCAAATTCTCAAAGTGCCTTTAATTATAGCCTTATGAGACAATTGGTATCCCCCTCTGTGTGATACATCTGGGGATATGAATTCATGGGTGATAAAGAATAAGAATTATGTCTCTACCACTGCATCCTCCATACAATATAGAGCTCTGAACAAGGTATAGATTAAATTTCACCAAATGAATATCCTTTTAGTTTGGAAACTTTCATCTTCCAATATTCCCCGGCATTGTGCCTACCACTGAGAATTATGGAGTTGAAGTCCACACATCTCTAAAGTGCCAAGGTTAGAACAAACTGTCATAGATCATAAGACAGAATTTTTGCACAGATAATAGTTTTGTTCTGAGCTCCATGATGGAAAATTAAAGTTGGATTTCATAAACAATAATCTCAGAGAAGAAATGACAATGAGACTGTAAAATGGCTATTCTCCAAAAGTGTCATACTGAAGTAACAGTTGAATTTGAGAAATGCAAAGAACAGAAAATATGTAGATGGATGAGCAATGAATCAGAAAATCCTAAATTCAAAACTCACCTTTACCATGAACTTACAATATTAAGTAAGTAGCCTTAAGGCATATGGGATTATTGTAGAATTTAGACTTTGATTTCTCCTAGATTTAATGATAACTACATGGTTTCAAAAATTTGATTTTTAACACAGCTGTGCATCGCACATTATTTCAAAAATATGGACAGTTATCCAGAAGTTTTGGCAATGTTCAAAAGTGTTCTTTTTAGTGATTGATGGCTTCAATGTTGTTATGAATCCTATTTCCTTACCTAGTGCCTTCTAACATTATGAATAATGTTATGCTATAGTCCTTATGAATTTTTTTGACAGGAAAGCCACAATTTCAAAAATCTCAATTTTCAAATTATAAATCTGTCTGTGGATTGGTGGGACTCAAAACTGAGATATGGCTTCATAATTTTTTATAGTTAAATGTTAATGACTTTTTAACAAGGTCCTCAGGAATTCATTTTGAGCAGAGCACTATAGATCTTAAAATCTATTTCTTGAGAACTTCATTGTGACAAAGAGCCAAAGTTTGTCAAATTTATGTAAGATGGGGCTGGCCAAAATCAGCCCTGGTTGTTTAATGAATTAATTCTATAACTAGTCCTAATTATCCCTTTAATTGGCTTAAATGAAATAGGGAATAGGGTTTTTCCCTCCATCCTGACACAATCAAAGTTGGATGACTTTGTTTATTAAATGACCCTTTTTCATTTGTTCACTCAAACACCATTTATGTACTTAAGGCCCATATAAATCTCAGAAAATATTCAGTTGCAAATATATATAATTCAGAAACTCCAATGGAGGAGAATGCTTCCTCACAGAATTGTAAATCATGATCTATAGGAAGGCTTCTGATTAATAGTAGATATGCATAAGCCTCTGTATCCCAGTTCTTTTAACAACAGCTAATGAAATATCTGCCTACCTAAAGTCAAATGAAGAAAGCAGGATAACCAAGAAATGACTTTTATGATGTCTTTGTTTTTAGTACAATACTGGTTATGAAAACATTTTTTAGATTGTAAACATGGTCAGGGAACATTCTGTTTTTTATTCTTAATATACATTTTGATACTTTTCTTTAGATCTCAAATGTTACCAAAAAATAAAACAAATCTGACAAGTGATTAAGTCCATTACTGCCCATTCCTGTTGTAAGCACTTTAAATTACAGGTCTTGGGTTGAATATGTAGTTAATTTTGCTCTGTTAATATGTCTGAGGATTACATTTCAGCATCCAACTCTTCTACATAAGAAAGTGGTTCAGTTTTCTTGTTTAATTTTCTTCACTACCATTTATATTGCTAGTCTAACTTTTGCAGTGGCAATATCAGCACAAGGCAATTGTCAAATTTTTGAATCTCTAAAGAACAGCCTTTAGAAGTGGCATTAAAGGATAATATTTCTTGCCATTCCTAGTGAAATCTTGATCAATGTGTTAATGATTAAAGGTGCTGTAGACCAAATTTTCCAGTGGGAATTATAAGAACACCTTAAAATAATATATAAAGAAGAACACTATGAATTGCCTAGGGTAATTTTTGTTTTGTTTTATTTTAAACCAGGATGATTTTTTGTCTTATCTATAATATATTTTTGGTATTGCCTGTTAACTAGAGTCAAGGTTAGTTATCTTTGAAGCCCAAATCAGTCTAGTGCTGCTACTTTCTGAAACAAATATATTTATCATTCTGTAAATCAATGTATGCTTTGTTAAATATTTTTATTATGCAGAAAAGTGCCTAAACTTTCAATTCATCAGATGTCACTATGTTCTTAAGTAATGCACCAGTACTGTTAATACTCCTTTATAATGAAGCTACATCATCATTTAATAATGGCTTTTCCCCCAGCTTATTGAAACCAGACACTGTATTTAATTCTCTCTCAATTGTAATCTCAGGTTGATGAAGTTTGCCTTTATTTCAAGACTTCTTGAGTCTATATTATGACTTTCTGTACAATGATCAGATTTAACTAATGTATTTGACTATATTGGGAGGTAAGTTGGATGCATAGATAGGAGTAAGCTAAAAAAAACAAGGGAGAGGATCCTAACCCTGAACATATTTTTTAGAAGTATGTCCCTTTGAATGGCAGAGAATTTCTTCCAATTGAACATGAATAAATTGGAATGCCAATGATCCAGCATCACATGTGTGTCTTCTTTTAGAATCCTTGTGATGCACAGGGTTCCTTTTATAAAATATTACTTAAAGCTTTCACAATTGAGGACAAATTTAAGGATAGGGAAAAGAAAAAGATGTGCCCTATAAGATTAATCTAGCTGAAGTTCTATATCTAATTGTGCTCTCAAGCTTTGCCAAATGATTTGCTTTTTGTATATTAGGACAAAAGATTTTCTGTGTATGGCTGAGCAAAGGTTAACCATGCATACCCAGCAGCTGCATAGGAGTCGAGAAGAGGACTTGGGAAGGAGGGGGAGAGACAGGGAAAGGGATTCAATATAGCTTAAATGCATCAATACTTGCATCTTTATTTTGTTTGATGTCACTTTTTTATATCCACCTGAAAAATGTATGCAAGATTTTAAAATACTTCACTCATTTATTTGGAGAGAAGAAATATGGGCCTTATATTCAGAAGCAGTGAGGTTTTTTAAAAAAATATTATGAAGATTATATATTGGATTTTGGATATCACCTGATATAAGTTTTCCTCCCATTCACCGTCAACATTCAAACTGCCAAATAATTTTTCAAGCATTTGGTAGGTGGATGTCTACTCTAAAGTAAGACTTATAGATTTCAGTAGGAACAATAGAAAAACTGTACGGGTAAATCTGGTAAAGATCATATTTGCAGATGACCACCAGAATTAGGAAATTATTTGAGAGCTCTATAACTAATTTGCCACTATTTTATTAATGGCAGTGAGGAAAAAAGAAGAGTTTACAAAGCTGCATTAATGGAAAGTAGTGTGGTGTTGTTTTTTAAAGAAAAACAAAAAGTTACAATATAGTATTAGCAAGCCTTAATATTCATTATATTATCTATAGGACCTTAATATTCATTATATAAAATTATCTGTATGTTTTTGGAGACCACTAAATTAGCACAGAGATTATTTAAACGTATATGGCAGTGCTTGCAAATACAAGTTTTACACTGTGGGACAATTTATACAAGCAGCTGAAGCACTTACCAAGAGATTCGGTTTATTTGGATTGATATTTTGCCATCAGGCAGGTTGAGTTTGCAAGATGTTCTGCACAGATTAATTGATCTTTGGTAGCCAATAGATTCAATAGATCAGGATGTAATTAGAACAGAAGGAATCAGGGCTATTGCATCTCAAAACTCAGGGTCAAAATGGCTCTCAGACAGCTCCTAAATTTGCTTTCTTAGCAAATGCTATAAAACATAAATATTAACAGAACAAAATTTTATGGGGATGGATATGTCCTTTCCATAAATTTCTCCTGTTTTATGGCTGTGGTTTTGTTTAATATGTGGTAATGATGTATTTTTCCTGCATCTTAAAAGTCAAAGTTATTCTGCCTTACATTGGAACTTTGTCAACCTCTTTATCAAGATTAAAGTCAAGCATTTTAGGAAAGATTATCTTCAGAAGGACCCGTTTAAAACTGTATCAAAAGACAAATGGATTAGATTCAATAATAAACATCTTCATTGACTATAAAATGGGAGTTCTCATAAAAAATAACAAGTTAAGAATAATGGATGTTATGCCCACCTATTGCACTCCCAACATTAGAGTTATTAGTACCCATTACCAAGTAAAAGCATATCAACATGCAGAATATGGGCTATGTATTGTAAAGGATATGGCACTGCCAGAATAAGGTGAGATTTCGGAAATATCTTGAAGGTCACCACACTCAGACTTGATGAGAGATATTGAGAGGCTTTCTGCAGTGCTAGGAGGATGTGCTGGTGAACAAGGGTGATGGTTCATATGATGTGATGACATCTTGGTCCTCAGACTTGTGGTCTCTCTTGTTAAATCTAAGGATTCTGGGGAGGCTCTGTCTTTCCCAGGGAAGGAGGCAGGAGGAGCCGCTAAGGGGTTCTGAAATGGGTATGCCATAAGGGGCAGAGGAAAGGGATGGCGAAACGAAGATGAAGTGAACCCTGTGGTGGCGGACAGTGGAGATTGATGGAGAGCAGCATGGTGGCTGCCAGGAGGTGGGGCAGAAGTAGGCTGGTCTGATGAATTTTTGCGGACAACTAGGGGCAGTGCTTCTGTTTGGTCTGTGGAATTCGACAGTGGCACATTCCCAAAGGTGTCTAGTGGGTTTGGAATGATGATGTCCCCAAAGCACTGGAGGCGCTGGTTTGCTGTGTGGAAGTTGTGGTTCTCCCCATTGACAGCAAATCTTGCTTGGGGGATCTGAAGAGGTGGGAAGACCTGAGGCAGTTGACGTACAGGCTTTGAAGAGAAAATCTTGACCACAGTGTCCACAACCTGAGACATGGCAGTGTTCAATTCCTGCTTTAGCGTCTCAGCCAAGTGCTTGCCTTCTGGATGAAAAGAGTTGGGCCCATGATCTTTTTCTTTGAGGCCATCTTTTCTGGGTTTGTTCTCCGCTATTTCCTGTTCTCTAATCAGAGCTCTTGCACGATCAATGAATTGCCCTGGGTCCAATTCACACATTTCATTATCTGACCTTCCCACAGAATCTCTCGCCCTGCCATTCAGTGTTTCCGAATGCAGGCTGTCTTCAGAGAGGTTACCAGCATCTTCGTCATTTTCAGAATCTGTGCTGTCATAGATTTGGTAGAACTTTTCCTGAAGTTGGCGCAGCTGCTTCTGCATGTCTTCCAGCTGCTGTTTCAGCTGTCTGCGCTCCTCTCGCTTCTGCTCTTTCCTAGCTGAAACCAGCTGCTGGAAACTCTGTTGCTGCTGTTGAGGCAGCTTTTGCTTGCGCTTATTTTCTCTGTAACTTTCTCGGGGACTCACAGACTGTGGAGCCATCTCTCTTTCATTTTCATTGCCCCTTAATGCCACACTTGGGGAATGGCTCATCCCTCGAATGATATTCTCAACCCGGGCACGCTTAGCTCTCAGGTGCTCATCGCACAACCGATCCATATCAAACTGGCTCATCGTGGGTCTGCCAAATGGAGAAAGACACTCTTGGGGGCTGTCTCTTGAAGAGTTGCTGCACACATCCTCCTGATGTACTTCTGAGCCTGTGCTGGAGAGGCCACTCGCTTGAAAGCTGGGCTCGTTGCCACCATTTTTGTTCATGTTATTTTTCAACAGCTGGGAAATTATAGTTGCTCCTGGAAAAGGCATCATGGCATCTTCATAGGAGTTTGCCCTCTTCAGCAGCTTGCGAAGCACATTTGACTTCTCCCCATCTGCATGCTGCACCACTGAATACTCCACATCCTGCTCGGAACCTTGGGGATTCATGGCACTAAAAAACGATGCTCTCGCCTTTGCAAAAAAGGCAGATGCTGTCCCTACCGTCCGTTTCACTCCAATGTCAACTCTTCTTCTCTTGGTCTGCCTACTTAAGAGGGCTGTGCTGTCATGGTCAGGCATCACTGAACAGTTATTGTGCCATCTTCAAAAGCTTGTCAGCTGGGCACAGCTCAAGAATCCTGGGACCCTGGCCAACAGAACAAAAGGACTGATGAATCATTTTCTTTAAATTTCTCCAAATTTCCTGACCTCAATCCTGAATCAAATGCAAAATGCATAGGCTCTGGGATTTATGGCACATTACAATTATTGCAATTTATTATGCACTCTGCTTGAAATGAAACACTTTAAATATTTCTGCTCCACTGGTTTAAGATGGATTAAGATATTTTTTTTAAAAAGGGGAAAGGAAAAACTGCTTAAGCACCAGTAATATATGGTTCTTTGCACAAATGCCTAAAATAATACTGTTTATCTTTAGGAAAAAAAAACTCTAAACAGTAGATTAGAAGAACACAGACACTGAAAACCAATTGATTAAATTTAGGGTTTGAAATAATGTCACAAAAGAAAATGAAAGCATATCTTGTTTCTTAGGTAAGGCTATCATATAGAATTTGGGCTTTAAAAAAAATCACATATAATTGCAAAACAGACTTGAGATTAAACCCAGAAAGTTGTTTAATTTTATAAGGGTGTTCCAGTATATCTGTAAGTATGAGCAGGTGCAGTGTGCATACCTATAGACACGCATGTTAAATAGGATGATACAAACCTTAGAAATCATTGTAGGAAAACTATTTAAGGAAGAATTTACATTTTGGTTATAAAATACATGTTATATTGCATTTTGCAGTAAAAATAGGAGTTTCAAAAACATATTATTCCCATGATGTCATCTTTAAACATTCCAGAAAGGGATAAGATGGGGTGGGAATGGGGAGGGAACCAAATTTATCATCCTTGAGATATTTCCCCATTTCATAAACTAAGATATGTGGCATCAAGTTCTTTGCCTGAATTAGAAAGAAGGCATTCTCAGCACCGTGTCATTGTTTCTTACATCAGCTTCCCAAGATAATATCTCAGGTGACTTATTGAAATAATTATTTCATGCAACGTTGTACTTGTATAAAACCTTACTTCCTGTAAAACACACACGCATACATGCACACACATACAAAGAGGGGGGGAGAGAGAGAGTGTGATTCTGAAGGAAAGAAACGGAGAGATGAAAGAAAGCAACATCAAGCAATAGCGTGAGAAAGGCAGATATCTTTTCTTTTATAGGAATTATCATTGTTTCCCAGGAATACAGAATTTAAAAAAGAAGACTGATAACACATTTCCTTGCATTTTATAATAGGCTCTTGACATCATTCATGACTTATTAACCATGATGCTAAACTCACATGGCATATGAAGCATTACAGACATCTTCCGGTACCTTCAAGTTGAAAACTATACCAATGTAATATTAATTTTTCCCATACTATGTTTATCTAATATTAAACTCCACATTAGCTTAACAGTGCACAGTTTCCACAATAATAGGGTATCTTGCCAAAGGCAGCATTCAGACTTTTGGATCTGTTCCCATCTGTTTCGGTTCACCTGTAAAAACATCTACGTGCTCCCTAGGACTGCATCTGTAGCTAGCTTTTAAAGAATGACTACCCATGCAAATAAGCATAATTTCAGCTTGAAATAATCTACGCTATCAGCGTGTATAGCCAGGGTTTGTAAGTGTAACAGTAAAAAAAATAAAAAAATAAAACCCTGCAAAAACTTTTAGAATGAAACCTATATTTGTTTGTTTATTATTCGAAGGCTGTGCAATTATTTTGGAGGTTATAAAATAATTTTTAAGAAATGCTGTACAAGCTTTGGAATATTCAGCTACATTTATTTCTTATTTTTTGCAGTGTATTCCTAAGGAGGCTACACTATTGTTTTACTCAGAACTGCTACTAAGAAACACAAACACACATACAGAATTTTGCAATAGCAAGTGTAACTTTGGATCAAACATATCTGATTAGCACCTTAGTATAAATTCAGTTTCACCACAGCAATCTTTTGCAGTGTACTTTTTAACTCAACTGTCTTTCCTCCTGTATTGTTTCCATTGAGATAAAAATATTCAGTCTCAGATTATATAATGGGACTGAATTTACATAAAGACCTAAGGATCCAATATTCAATAATTAGAATAATTAAAAAGATACTTTACTGTATCATGTCATACATGGAATTATGTGAGAAATTAAATGATTTCAATTCCCTCTGAGATAAAAGGAATTTCGCTACTAAGTGGCAGTGGCTTTTTTATATATAAAAGCTTTTTTTCCCTCTGTTTATTTCATATGATTATGGATCTAGTTCAGATCCTTTGTGTATAAACTAGTATCAGTGTATTTTCAGATATACACTGCTTCATTTAATTTAATGGGAACATTCCACTTCACAACAGAAAGTCATTTTTTTGGCTTCTAGGTTAATTACAACTAAATAACCTTGCCCATAAATAAAAGGCAAAAAAAATGTGCAGGGGTGAAAGTCCCCTACATGGGCAAGATTTGTAGCCTGTCATTATATGCTGATGTAAATATCTTCTGAGGTCTGCCTCCACTCTCAAAATCCGTCATCACTCTAAGTCTCAAAGAGGTTGCTTGTTGTTGGGGTGCATTAATGAGAGTGCATCGTTTTAGAAGGGACATAACGATATTAGCAAAAAGGAAAAGCAAGAGCAATACAAATTTTAACTTTAGATTTCAGTGGACTTCTGATATATAACACAGTATTCCCAATATGCTTTAAAAAGTGTTTGTTCCTAATTTCTTTCCCCTTTCATTGTATTTCATTTAAGGGTGGAATGAGACATAGGACGTCTGCAAAGCTCATAAACTCTTGAATTGAGAAAAGACATAAGGTCAATGCCATGGATCTATAATCCAAAAAAAATAAATTTTTCTTCTACATCTTTGCTTCGTAGAGATACCAGAAGGGAAGGCCAGACTATCACTGGAAATAACAAGTAGTATTGCTTATAAATGATATGTGTTAGTTGGTCTTCTACTTTCTTCATGTTTCCTTGATTCCCGACGACACTTATGCTATCTCCTTATATGACAAAATATTTTGCCTTCCAAACTTAAATCGTTATTTTACGTTATGTTTTTACTGGGGCTGAAAAATGCCTCTGGATCAGTCTCTTGATTTGAAAAGGGCCGGAATGCATTAACATTCTGAAGGAAAAAGAATGCTGTAGAAAGAAAAAATATCTAAGATTCTGAGTCATCAAGAATCAGATCTTTGGATAGGATTGTGGTGAGATTTTCCTATTAGATATGTAGAGGAATATATATATATATATATGCAGAAGGGTAAACTGGTCATTGAATTAGAGAGTTGCTCCTGTCCAATTTAGAGGAAACAAATCTGCTCAGCTTGATTTATTTCTTGTCCAGAGGTAATTCAGAAGTCATTTAAATTTTAGCTTTCATTATGGTTCACATAAATATCGTTGCTTAGTTTACTGGTTTGAGCTTTAAGTTATTTTGACAAATCCCTATTTGCCAAGCTTTCATTATTTGAGACTTCAATTTATATAGGACTTCACAAGGACTCCATTTTTCAAAGTTACTGAGTGGTATGACATACACAGCTTGTTTTTAAAGCACCTGATAATAACCCAATGTAATGGAAAAAAATTATTCTCTAAACTTAGATAATAACTTGCACTTCTGAAATCAACCCTCTTCTCTATTTCACTGAATTCCCAATCTACCATATCCACCAAACAAACACATTGCAAAAAATATGAATATCCAATATTATCACACATATGTAGACAAAAATACCCATTGCTCACAAGTACAAACATTCTATTTAAGAAGGCAATTCAGTCATTAGTTCTCCATATATTAAATACATCGCACACGTGGGTTATATTGTTTTAGGTGATACTACTGTAAAGCAATTATACTGTATATTATGAATTTTTGCTAAATTGCTTTTCCACTGGTACAATGTAGATTGAGTTAAAATAAAAATAAATAAATAAATCTAAAATAAGTAGAATGGAAATTGGGGGGAAATTATCTGGGGAAAAGAAGTACTTTTTATAGGAAGAATAGAATTTCTAATTCATTTTTAAAGTCCAAACTGATATAAACTGCTGGTTGTGAAAATTAGCAATGAACTTTTCAAAGCGAAACTGCATATTTTAAAATTGTTAGTTCTTCTCATAGAATGCAGCTACCCTTTTTCCTTCATTGCACACAGCACTACACGCCATACGCAAGTAGAGTACATTGCACTGACTTGGAAACATAAAATATTTTTGCTGCAGTTCAGAGAAGTGCAAAGCATGGATATGTAAAATTTGCATAGCTTCACTTCCCATACAATAGAATTATACAGCCTTCTGAAGGAATTTAGAAATAAAGTCCATTTTTCTACCACTGATTAAAAAATAAATAAATGACATTATATAAAAATGTAAATGTCTGTTATAACACAAACATCATTATGATTTTTTAAAAAACAAAGAAAGCAGACAACTGTTTAGCATCATTGGCACAAGAAGGCCAATCTGGCAAGATATGGAAAAGCTGCTGTGAGATATTTCGCATTCTCTCCCTCCTATATAGGTATGTAGTGCCTTGATGACTACAATGAGTTCTATCTTATTGGTTTTGGAAGACATTGGCAAAACGACTCCTGGAGAAACATATCTACAATTTACCCAATTGGTATCAGAAATATATAAACTAATATTTTTCTAGCAATCCAACATTTTCATGTAACATTAAAAAAAAATTTGCTACCCAAATCAACAACTACATATAACAACAACTGCTCATACATTATTCCTAACCTAAGGTCACCCTACACTTTCCCCCTCCTCCCTAAGGTTATGGGACATCCAATCAGAAGACTGAATCAACTCATCCATAGCACATACTTGAGAAGTTACTCTAGCATGCAATGGAACACAGTCAAGTAATCCATGACCAAACATTTTGAACACTGAAATCCGCTACAGAAATCCTCAGTATCAAGACCCAGCCACCTGAGAGATGCCAATTTAATTTTGAATTGATCATTAAAGCAATTTGGAATGGTAGCAGAGCATTCTCTTTCCCCTATTAAAGTGCAGAAAGTTACCTATTAAACAATAATGTGTGAGGTAATGTCTAATATTAATATAATTTAATCCTAAATTAGTAACCAAGTATAAATTATATAGCTTTCATTTTTTTTAAAAAAAGTTTATCTCTTTTAAATATGAGATGTCAAATACTTAATACTGTTCATGGTGGGGGGACAACTAAATGTCAGAAGGGAAAGCAATGAAATGAGTGATAGAAGGGGAACCACTTACGGGAACCATTTATAAAATGCTTGATGGCAGAGTTAGCAAAGAACAAGTCAAGAAACAAAGAATATAGGGCCACATGCAAATTCATTTGCAAACTAAATTAATATTAAAGCGTATTAAGCCTGCTAAAACAGTGGATAGAAGTATTAAAAACAATGCTTTCCATTTAAAAAAAAATCTAGCAGTAGATATGTGTATTTCTCATATCCCCACTAACCTAGCAGATGGCATTAAATTAAAGAAATGACAGGTTCGCATATGTCTGCATTTAGACTGTCATCTCTAAGCATGCAGATTCCAGTGCAGACCAAAGACTTGCAAATTCAGAGGCATGCATTGGTTTGAAGGAGAGAAAAGGGGATTTTTTTAAAAAAGAAAGAAAAAGAAAAACAGCATTTTATCTTTGATAGATGAGAATGTCACCTTTAAAAGTGCTTGTTCACAATTTCTCATCCATTACACAAAAATATATCACAGGTTCTGTTTGTGCCGTGACAGTACTTTGACATATTCTTGTGTCAAATGTGTCAAAACTTGCCTAGGTTCCTTGTATCATACTTACCGTTTTTCACCTTGATTAAGACATAAGGCCCAGTCTTAAATACATTCAGAAATAACCTCCAGCCCATTCAGTGGAAATCCTTCCCAAAGAAGCACACGCATAATTCATTCTTTGAATAGGCCCCATAGAATTTTGAAGGGCTTAATTTCTGAGGGGAGGTGAATAGGGTTAGGATGTCAAATCATTTCAATTGGGGCTAGGTGGATGCCTTACTCTGCAAACTAATTCCTATTTAACTTGGGGAAATATTTCATTTAAAGCAAGGGGTACACTAACTTACAAATGAAATCCAGTGCCATTTGCTCCAAATAAATGTACACAGAACAATGCTCCAATTACCACAGCAAATGATTTTACCAAACCACCAGTAGAATAGGCAGAACAGCAATTCCCCGGTTTACCTCCCCCACACTCACACACGCACTTACACACCACACAGAGCAAAAGGAGCCAGGTTTTTTTTATAAAAAAAAATCCTTTTTCTGTGCTCTTTTACAAATTCACAGTGGAAACAACCTGCTTTGCAGCCCTCAAGAATCCAGCTAACAAAAGAGCTCCGGCGCTTCCCTCCTTTCTTAGCCCGACCATCTCCAAACAAAGCGCCATAAATTCATAAATAGACGTTATACTCGGGCTCAACAGCGGGAAACTTGCACCTGTCTTTCTTGACACAACACACCTGTCCGACGCTGCCCATGCGCACTTAGACCCGAGCGCCCCTTGTACAATTTCAATGCTGGATCTTTGTCAGGCGGAGCCAGAGAGAAGCGCACGAACAGTTTCCCCCGCTGCTCCCCGTCCGCCCTTGTTAGAAGAGGCCCCCGGGGGCTGTTCACAACAACCGCTTTATAGCCCAAACCGATGTTCGCTCGCCGTTTTACCACCGGTTCTCTCTCCCCCTCCTTCCCTCTCCCTTCTCCTGAAACACCCTTCGCCCGCCCGCCTTAGAAGTTCCTTAGAAGAAGAGACCAGCTTTCCATTCTAGCGGGCACTTTGACTAGCAACTTTTGCACTGCGCGCTGAAAGTTAGTGCGCGCACTGAGTGAGGCGTTGCAGCAGCTCTCCCGTGGGCACCAGAGCTGAGAAGAAAGGTCGCCTCTGGAAAGGCGGGAGGGGTGTGTGGAGAGAGAGAGGGGTGTGTGTGTGTCTATCTTTGTCGTATTGAGTTTGTGCACGAAGTGGACATAATCTCACAAGTTAATCTAAAGCTTTTGGAAGGGGGGGGGGTGGAACCCCGGTGTTCCCATCGTTAGGCTTCTGGTGGCAAGGACCCCCTTTTTCGTCTAACTGCAGCATTAGAATGCGCGCAGGCGTCTGCTCTCTCTCTCTCCTGCTAAGTCAATGGCATCAGGTCAATGGCATCACTCTGGAAGGAACTGTCTGTCAATCGAGAGACCCCCCCGAGGTAACCCCTCCCCTCCCGTTCGGTATTAAACCGTTTAAAACAAAAAAGAACAAAAAAAAAAAAAAAACCCAGAAGAAATCCCGAAGAGTGGGCTCCTTGGCGTCGATAGGGAGTCGGGACTCAGGTAAATCCCACCGAAGACTGCCCGGCTCAGTTTAAACCTGGCCTCAGTCTGGATCCACAACAATGCGCGCATCACCCGCAGACGGGGCAAAGTGTGGCAAGCGGGACAGCCGCTCCACAAACCGCAAACAATTCTAATTAATGGGTGTGTGTGTGGGGGGGGGGGAATACAGCGCACGCCTCAGCAGTCTTCCTTGGGATAAAGCAGATCCAATCTCTACTCGCGTTCCCCACTGTACGCCGCCCCCGCCCCCAACACATACGGTACATATTTACTGGGATCCAGAATAAAATCTCTATGGGTTCAAGGAAAAGGCGCTTTCGCAGAAAAGTGGCGGGGTATAACCAAACCTAACAACCTGGCTTCAAAACTTCCCTTGCGTCCCGTCGTTCATTCCCCCTAAACAGCTTCTTTCCGCAACTCTTCCCCTAGCCCTTGGGTAGCTCAAAAAGAGAAGAGTGTTCAAAGACGCCTGCTTTATCTGACTGGTGCGTGTGCTTTCTAAACTGCTCTCCATCGCCGGGAGGGAGGGAGGGAGAGAGAGAGAGAGAGAGAGAGAAGGGGGGAGGGACGAAGAGCGAAGAGAGAGAGAAAGAGAGAGAAGTAGTCAGGGACATGCAAATAATAAGCAAATCAGAGAAGACAAAAAGAAAAAGGCAGCGACACAATACGAAGAAGAAAGGCCGGACTTGGGGAGTTGAGAAAGGACCGATTGCGGAGGGGGCGGGGGGGGGGAGAGAAGGGGAGAGGTAGGAAAAATAAGAAAGAAACCTCACAACTTCACCTCACAACTATTTTCTCATCTTTAAACTGTAATAATACAAAGGATCAATAAAGACTGGGGAGAAGAGCAAAGGAAGAAGAAATGCAGTCTGAGGAAAGGCTCGAGAAGACATTTTTCGCACCAACCTTGTCCTTTCACACCGACCAAACTATTGTGATGGTTCCCATGAAGCTTCGGAATATGGACCATCTGCCGGCTTATTTTTCAGTCTAACAATCTTACTCCGGTCACAAACTCAGCAGAAGGGAGAAACAGGGGAAAGGAAACGTGGAGAGAGAGGCGGGAGGGGGAGGTATCCAAAGACGAAAGGGGGGGGAATCACAATTTGCCCCCCCCCCCAGAAGCAGTATTTCAAACAAGCCCGTCTCAGTGTCAAGAATACCCCTTCCCCCCCTCCCCAAAAGAGAAAGCAAGAGAAGGGAAGGGAGAAAAAGGTACTTACTCAGTTACAAAGGCGAAGAAACTGAGTCCCCCTCTCTGTCTTTGCCCCCCCTCCCACCACTCTTGCTGGTTAGAGAGAGAGAAAAGAAAGAGAGAAAAACGCGCTCATACAAATGCTCAGATCGCCTTGATAATCTGGCTGCTGATGAATATTGCAACTGGACAAGGGAGGGTGAAAGCAAGAGTGCTCGCGTGCGAGAGAGAGGGAGGGAGGGGGGGTAATGAGTGGGAGAGAAAGGCTACTAGAGACAGACAGAGAGAGAGAGAGAGAGAAAGAGGAGAGGGGAGGAGAACCAGCTCTTCTGCGGCGCTCTTCTCTCCCCGCTGTAATTGTCTTTTTCTTTCTGCAAGCAGCAGAGCAGCCTCGCTGAGCTGAGGGCTCCGCACCACAACAAGATTTACTTTAAGACACAGCTGAAGGAAACAGGAAGACTACACGTCACGGTCTGAGTGACGTGCCTAGGCCCAGCGCCCAATCGGGAAGCTCCTTCGGATTCAAGGGGGATAGCGAGCGCAGAACTTGGGAGGAGTAGTGGGGGGGAGAGAGAAGAGAGAGAGAGAAAGAGAGAGAGTAGGAGAGAGAGAGAGGAGGAGGAGGAGGAGAAACTGAATCTGTCCTCCCTCCTCTTCGTATTCCCTCTATTCCCTTTCTCCACCCCCCCCCGCCCCCCCCCCCCCCCCCCAATTTGCTGATGGGAAGGAAACTTCATCACCAAATTTGGGGGAAGATGACCTTGGCAGTAATTTGTGCTCAGTTCGGAGTTCAACTTTGCCGGGTGGTTCAGTTGCTGTACGCCAACACCTTGGTGTGGGGTGTGTGTGCGGGGCTCTGTGAAAGCCCGACCCACTACCACCAACACCAACACCACACACGCCAAAAAAAAAAAAAAAATCAACTGGCCGAAAACACGGGAGAAGCATCTGATCTTTCTAGGCATCGCGTGTGTGTTTGTGCGCGCGCGCTCGCTCGCGCGCGTGTGTCCGTCCATCCGTCTTTCTTTCTCTCCTGTGTTAAACGACCCCACTTGCATACCCAGAAATAAACGGGAGTCGAGCTTGACTCCAAAAGGGCTTCACCTCTTAAGTCTTAGACGAGCGCTTTGCCGCTATCTCCAACAATTTGCGCTCCAGGCTGCCGCCGCCGGTTAAAAGCGAAAGGATCAGCTCCGGAGCGCAACCCATTCGCTTGGCAGAAAATTGCGCGTGTGAATTATTGGCGAGGGTCTTTTCAAGGTTTCTCTGAACTGTGCCATACCGGGAGTTTTAAGGTTTTAAGATGGCGGGAATGTCTTCTCCCTTGAATAAATCTGATTTAAAGATTTTTTTTCTTCTTCTTTTGGGTGTCGCTAAACTGGTGGATCGGACGGCGCGGTCTTCCTTGGGCTGCTGAGAGGGAGGGTGGCGCTGCGCGAAGTCAAGGTATTTGGGGCGCACGCAGGCAGCCGTCCGTGGGGCTGATCAGCCAGAAGCCCTCGCCTTATAAGAAAACCGTTCCCTTGTCAACATGAAAAAGTCCCTTGAAATCATGGACGCATAAAAACGTCCTTTCTTCCCGTGTGTGTCTATCTCATCTGTTTGTAGCCCTGGATCCTTATAGCTTCAGATTCGGACGGCTCTGAAGGGTGTAGACAATGCCAATCTCCTTATTATATCTATTATATCTTCAAAACTTTCAAGAGAAATTCGCTGTCCATCTTCTGCACCTAAATTCAGCGTTGTTCCCTCACGACCTGCACGCAAGTTCTACTTCTTAAGGGATGTTCAATCTTAAATTCCTCCTAAGTATTATTGTTCCTGTTTATTACAAGCGCGTTCTTTAATGTACGGAAATAACAAACTCGCTCATCTAAAGTTGAGAGCAGTGGGTTTCCGCAGGTCATCAAACAAAAGCCTTAATTTCTATTTTAAATAATTAGAAGGTGGAAATTAGCAGTATCTTTCCCCAAGATATCAGGAATATCAAGGAATGGAATTCTTTTTTTAAAAAAAAAAATCCTACAACGCTTTCAAATTTATGAAGTATGGTCATACCTCATTCTTCTATTAGAAACGTTTTCTTCACTCGTCGCTTCTTTCTTAAAAAAGAACATTACAAATTGTCTTAAAAAGAAAAAAAAGAAGAAGAAGGAAGATATATTTAAGGGCAGGCGCCTCAAGCAGATCGGCTGTTCAGAAGGTGCCCGGTTAGAGTAGGGGGGTTTAATCATTGGGGGGAAGGTAAAGTGCACGGCGATGCTTTCTTTGGATTTGAGTACACATTCAAGAAACACACTCCTTTTTTCCACTCTTGTCTATGTAAAACATTTACAGATATAGACTTTAAAACCCCGACTTCATCCGCGTGAGTTGGGGCCTCCATTAAAACAAAAAACAAAATAAAATCATGCCGAGATAGAAGATTGTTTGGATTTCTTTAATATGGTACATTTAAAGGACTTGAAGGGCGCATTCAACAGTCGGCCACGTCTGAAATGAAACACCACGTTTTAAAACCTCGCTACCATATTTCTGGCGCTATTAGGATTGCTATTATTATTAATTCTGCATAAGCCCCCACTCTATAAAACTCCACTCCCTTTCTTCCTTTCTTCCCCACCCACCACAACTGCCCTCCAACTTTAAGAAAGCTAGCCGAAGAGGGTAGCACACTTTTAATTTCCTAAGAAGGAGAAGGAGAAAAAGGAGGAGGAGAAAAAGGAGGAGGAGAAAAAGGAGGAGAAGAAGGAGAAGGAGAAGGAGAAGGAGAAGGAGGAGAAGAAGAAGAAGAAGAAGAAGAAGAAGAAGAAGAAGAAGAAGAAGAAGAAGAAGAAGAAGAAGAAGAAGAAGAAGAAGAAGAAGAA